AAAATAAATAATGGTTTCCATTATATGCATATTGAGCTAATTTATATTCAATGACCAAAAAGGCAAAACATTCAATTAGCACAAGCAATTAGTTGTCTCACTTGGCAGAAGTCATGACCAAAAGATAACTGTCTTTAATAGGTACAAGCAAGGGCATATAAATATGCAGCACAAAATGTGTAGAGTGTACCAAAGTGTCTAGCAAGATAGTTGAATTTACCAAGACACAAAGTAACATCATTCAACATACCATTTCTGTTTCCTCCATCATTGCCCACCAAATATTTCTTAATACATGATTGTCTTTCTTTTAACAAATAATGTTAAACATACAATAAAATTACTTCTCAAGAATGGTAAGATTCTGCCTTGATGAGATCACAGAGGTTGAACTTACAGGGTGTGTAATGCCATATCTTAACACTGCATTACGGATGGCTTCCAAATCCTTTTCATTGTCAAATTTCGCTGAATGTACTCCCACAACAGTGAACTGTAAAGTAATCACATAATGCAGCCAAAACATCAAACTTGAAGTTCACATCATTCTGGAAGAAAATTCATGCAGCCAAGAGGTAGAATATCTGAAGCATTGAAGAGAAGCATACCGGCATATTATTGTATTTCTTCTCCAGATACTCTAGATCAGGCAATACATGCATACAATTTATGCAACAGTAGGTCCAGAAATCAAGCAAAACTACTTTTCCTTTCAAATCCTGGTCAAAAAGTTGAATTTCAAGTTACACACACTTAGATGAACGATAATTGCAGTAATTTTTTATCTTTTCCCCTATGACAAGGGACATGCAATCGAGACTGGAAATCACACCCTAGAGAAGGGTGGAAGTACTAACCATCGAATCGAGGCATGATTTGTATAGCTTACAGTAAATCAAAGTTCTCCAAGAATAACTGGAGTTTCTGATGCTATACTGCAAGATTTTTCACCATTATAGTGCTTTAATATATTGTTTGTATTAATTCATAGTGCTTTTATATATCAATTTCCAGATTATGATTGATAGGAAAATATTAACATTTATTTATTTTTCATTCTTATAGCTCTCTGGTCAGAAGTTGTCTTTGATTTTGAGCATGATTTTACATAATTATGAACAAGTAAAATAAACATTAGAATTTTGAATCTACACGAGTATGAGGTTGTATTTTTTTATCACAAAGAATAAGGGGAAGAACGACTCAAAATAAATCATAAAAGCAAACAAATAGGATAAGCTATTGTGAAAACAAAAAGAAAACACAAATTTTGTATTTTGATGCTTTCTTCTATATATAAAAGTAAAAAACAAATTCAATTCACAGAGTTTACCCTCCGGAGCTGAAGTGGAGCTGTATTCAGCCAGTCAAGTTTAGATGGAAATTCTGGCACAGTGGGAGCTGTTCCCCTAACAAAGCAGAAAATGATAGATTCAAAATAGATTAAACTTAAAATTTGCAGGTTTCCACTGCTAAATGTTTCATAAAAATGTATCAATTAAAGGTGAAGGGAAGAATTGTTCTCACCTCTGCTCTAGGTCAGATATATAGTCCACAAATTGTTGGACTCTTGCATTCCTTGATTCAACTATAAAAGGTAAGGTAGATACTAGTTAGGTATGTTACAATTATGCATATAAAGAATAGCAAAAGGCTCTAAAACCAACAGAACCATCTATTTTCAAAGCTTATTCATTTTTTTAGATAGAAAATATGAAGAACAAGAATAATAAAAATAACGGCGAAATGTTTAAGTTACTGAAGAAATGAAACAAAAGGAAGCAGAGGGGAAAATTAATTCTATGAAGATATATCATAGAAAATCTACCTCTACTTTGTTCAAAAGATGGACTGTTGATCCCAAATAACACATTCCATATTGCTTTTGGGGATGCATATTGCATTGCCTGAAAAGGCATATCAGCACATCAAACAACTAAATTAGTAGAAAGAAAATTTTTTGCTTCAATTGCATTAAATAGGAATTAAAATGGAAAATGCCAATGCTCAACATCCCTAAATAGGCAGAACTTTCAGAATTGTTATGAATTAAATCAGTTATACCTTCCAGTTTTGAATGCCAAAGTAAAGACAAGAGAGAGCGACACCCAAACTTCCATATCTCAATATCTCTCTCCGAGAACCCTGCAACCTGTCCACAAATTATTTCTGCAACCTCAAAGTGAATATGCTAGAAAAGAATTTATTTCTCCTGAAATCAAACTTAGTACTAATGATTGGTTATCATACATGACAGACCTCATCATTTTCAAGTTTAAAAGTATAATTTCTAATTAGAAAATCCATCAAGCAATAAACAAAACCCTTTTTGCTCTAACCAAAGGCTTCACAGATTCACAGTTCCTCAATTTAAAGCATAGCTTATTGTGGAGAAAGAAAAGAAAGTAAAGTGAAAGTTATCCTAAAATAACCAAGTTTACACAAGAATGAGAAATTTATATGATAATAAACAATGATTCGTTCAAATTTTTAGATGCAGAGCTTGCCTTACCGCCCAAGTGAAAGAGTTGTTTCCTCTGTAGCTTTTCTATCCTCTGCCCCTCCATTGAGGATTTCAGTAGAAGTATTGACAGAAGCATCCAAAAACTGAGACTCCTGTATCTTCTCATCTGCAATGTTATGATTTCATAAGACCTCACTGCATCTTACTATACATAATTTCACCTACTACCCAGAAAAGAAATTTTAACAGAATAGAAAAAGATAAATTTTAGTCTTGCCTCTTCATCTCTTCTAAAAATCAAGGCTTACCATCTAAAGTCAATTGTACATAATTGTGGACTTTATTAATAAAAGAGAAAATTTTCCAAATGCAGGATATTCAATTACAAAAATCATCGTCTTCCCCAAAGATCTTAAATATGCTGCCACTGTAGCTTCACAATTTTACAATGTCAATCTTACAAGATGAAATTTGCAACTTGTTCTCAGGACTACATACTATCGAAACCTGAGCCACCACTCAGAATATCATCAAGTGAAACACTTCCTATCTCTTTTCTGATGAGTGAAGGACCGGCATTCTTAAGAGCCTCTTCTGACACTGATGTCGTGACGGCTATACATCTGCAAACAAACAGTGGTAGTTAGTGGCCAACAGAAGAAGAAACCCAGTATTATCTCAAGGAGAAACAAATAACTGATAAGCAGGACCATGAACTAATGCAGTGCATTAACTTGAGGAAAAGTATTGTATTATACTCTAGGTGCTGAAACAGTCATAAAATTACATTCTTCGAGATGAATGAATAAATATAGCAAAAGCATATGAGCACAATCACCTCATATCTGCAGCTTTGGCAGCCTCCACTCCAGCTAGGGCATCCTCGATAACAATACACTGGGAATGGAAATTATTTTTTCCTTCAAAAGGAGTTACTTGAAAATATGAAGAATATAATATAAAATCTACATAGAAAAATCTCAGAATAATGAATTATCATGAAGAGCAGGAAAAGGAAATGCACGAAAAGTTCAGATGGCAGATAAAGAGCTAAATTTTTCTTCAAAACATTGCAAGACGTTCATAATACTGGTGGAGTCTTTCAAAATCTGAAACAGTGAAAACATATTTCTTGATGACATTTTCATTCTTCAAAGTCTTAACTGGGACAATAATATCTCTTGAGGCAAAGATAAATAACTATGAAAATACAATGTCCTTGTCACTACCTCACTTGGGGGTACATTTAAGATCCTTGAAGCAGCTAAGAAAATATCAGGAGCAGGTTTCAAGTTCTCAAAAGCGTCTGCTGAAACAATAGCGTCAAACCTGATAAGAAGATTGCAATAATATATTACAATATGAACCAAACACCCCACTGCAGAAAGTTTATATGTGATGCTGAGCTCTATAACACTGTCAAATTTGGTTAGAACAAAATACATCCCAAAAAATCAGAACGATTTAGGATAAATATTTGATATTATTGCAAGAAAGATTAAGATACACAGCATACAATTAGGCAAACTTACATTGACAAAGGTAAACCAGCAGCAGCTAAATTTGCATCCACCTTGATACGATCAGCACTTGAAGCAACTGCAACTTTTAGACCTTTGCTTTTACACTGTTTTACAGAAAAGAATTTTCTCATATAATCACTAATGCAGCAGAAAGGTGATAATATCATGCCAAACAGATCATTGACTCATGTACCTGAGTGACAAGTTCAAAGGCACCAGGGAATCCTATTCCAGAATTTGGCTTTGCATACTACAAAGAGTAATACAAACAAAGAGTCATTATTGCATTAATAACTTCCCCGCCCAATTAGGATTTGAATAGTAGATCAATCACCTTATTCAGATATATCTCGAAGAATCTCTTCTTTGCAGCTTCAGGATCAAATCCTTTTACTCCTTTAACGGAGGCAACGCCTCCTAAAAAATTTGCTTCACCTGGTGCATCGAAATCACTCTTACCACACAAATCAGAAAATGGAACTAGTTATATTTGTATTTAAAACCTTACTGCAGAATGACTAAATTGTGCGAATTGACAATTGAAACCACAACGTCTAAGACCCAATTTCGACTACCAAAACAAAAATAAATGTGGAGATGATAAACAGCCCCTTGTTGAATTTGTGTTGGTATTTTGACCTTTGATTCTAATCATGAATGACAAATCTTGCACGTATATTAGAATAATCAACATTAACCAAACCATTACAGTTTATAAATTGCCAACTTCTAACTAACATCATAATGAAGCAACCTTTCCATGATTTCCGTAGTAAAAATAAAAAAGGTCCTGAATTTGGAACTTCTTTCAATGCCAACCCAAATAATAAAGCACTTGGAAATTCTTGAAATAGTCAAGTGAGTTCTAACTCAGACAAAGTGATCAACATTACATGATTTACTAATATACTGATTAACCCAAACAATCCTTCATTTACCTGTTCCCGTGAAAGGCACAAAATCCTCAACAGTGACTTCAATTCCCATTTCTGCAAAAACGTCCACGGCTGCTGTTCTGGAAATCTCCTCGCTGTTGCAGAGAACACCATCCATGTCAAACAGCACTGCAGACACCTTACCCCACTCACTTGTAGCAGTTTCTGACACATTCTTCTCCTCCACCCCCACGGATGACCTTTCCGCCGTGTTTCTAGTAAACATTGATCGTTTTGATCTCCAATGAGTGTAGGAGCTTGTTCTTAAGGTTGGTCTTGGTACTCTGGGATTCAAAGTGAAGAAGACGGAGAGTCTTGTGGGGTGAAAGAGGAAGGAAGAAGGAGGAACCAGTAGCTTCAAAGCCATGGTGTGGTTGGGAGGGGTGACGATTCAACTGATTGGTGCTGCTAGTGGCGGGTGTATATTGTGTGTATATATCTTTTGGAGGATTATATTGTGCATATATTTGACGAAATTAATACTGCTTAATGAATGGGAAATTGGATTGGTATTTCAGAAATTGAATTTGGGTAAGCCAGGTTTTAGTGGTGGAGAAATGGTTTTGTAATTTTCTTGTCAGAAATTATTTTCTTTTCCATTTATGTAGGTGGAGCATTGAAGAACTTGATGTTTTATCCATTTAGTGACCACTCTTTCCTTTTTGGGCTTAACCCAATTAACTCATCAAATCTTTTTTTCCCATTTGAAAATTTCGGGCTGAATCCAGGAAATGATTTACATGTTTAAGTAGAATAAGATTTGAGCTCAACTAATCAAATTCAGATTAATAACTTCAGAAAAAATAAATTGTTCTAAATATGCTTGGTTACATGGTCATTACTAAGAATAGCTTGTAAAATTATCTGTTCTACTCATAAAATTAGAATGGTATCCATTTTTATTAGTAGTTTGGAAAAAATAAAGTGATTAATTATGCTTAATGAGATTGTAATTCTGTTACCTGGCAATATAAACTGTTGGTTTATATTGACACCAAGTTCTTGAACTCTATGATGCCAATATAATCAAACTAAAGAATGAAACATCACCATGATTAAAAATTTCCTAAATTCATGGTCTTAATTCCTTCTAATCATGATTAACAAGTGAACAGGCCATGGCCTATAAAATGTGTTATTGAGAGCAATGTTATTGCAGAAGGGACTGGACTGTGGTGCGTCCAGGGAGTCATTCCACTTCATTTTGAGTTCATTAATTATACTTTTAATGGTTAATTTATTAGTAACTTACAATTAATCATGTTGGTTTTACAATTGGCAATAACTTCAGGTTAACCATGAAGACAGTAATCATTGCTTCTGTAAATGGAAATGGTTGTGCTGATGCAATTTCAGACTGATGCCAGAAAATTCATGTTGGAAGATATTAAGAGAAAGTCTGGTTATCAAACTTCATCAAAAGTTATGCCAAGCCAGATTACCAATCCAGCAAATCTGCATGCATATCTGGGATTCCAGTACAGAGCACAGACAGAGGTGAAGAGTACATAGACATCTATGACAGCAATCCTGCATCGTCTATGGAGAATCATCACGCATATGCAACTGATTGCCAACCAATAAAAGGCAACAACTAATCTTCCTCTATGTGAAGAAGAAGATGGTGTGTGTTTGTGTTTGCTGAGTGTGCCTCTATTATGAAAAGGGTGTCGAGATATTGTATAAGCAGTTTGACAATTCTGCTTGTAGTTAACACAAACTAAAAGTTTGTTAATCGGAATGGCCTCAAGACAAGAAATATTCTGCTGTAAAGACTACTATAAATAAGATTATGATATATTTTGCTTAACGATTATGATGTGGCATACAGAGTTAAGGTAGCTTGAAGGAATATGCTTTTATTGAAAAACAGAAGAATCATCCAGGTTTAAGGAGATATTTTATTCAAGTTTCAACAGCAATCCAATTGGACCAGAACTTCATAAAAACAGATATCTTTATGTTCCGCAGTTCTTACACTGTAAGGATGTGTATTAAATTATATTTTTCTCAAACTGAAAAAAGATTCAGCGTCATTTACAAGAACCTTGCACTTTAGGAACTTTTACCAGAAATCCTTGCATGAGCATACTCCATTCTTGAAATAATGGTATCGAACACGATCCCTGACAATAATTTCCCGTCTATAAACTCTTGAAATAATCTTGGTGGCAGAATGACAGTCCTCACACACCCTCAAGTTCTTGATAATGCGAATTGGAGTGCCTGGTTTTGTGTTAAGCAATCCAAAAGCAATTGCAAGCTTTTCGCTGTGGTACTTCAATGCAGTTTCCTTCTCCTCCTCACTGATATCAAACAAAACTTGAGAGGTATTTGGTGAGTAGCCCTCCCTCTGCAACTTCTCAATTATTTTCTCCAGCATCATGTGAATTTCCTCCACTTGTGGGTGCGATCCATCCCCCATTTTGAATTCATGAATGATGCCATCTAAATCAATCATGCTAATTCCCGGTGTTGTTCTGATACCCCTTCCCTTCATCAATTTTCTCAACCTTCCGACATCCTCCCATCTCCCTGCCTTTGCGTATATGTTTGACAGTAAGGCGTAACGCCCACTATTTAGAGGGTCCATCTCAAGCAAGATTTTCCCAATTCTTTCACCAAGTTCAACATTTTTATGTATTCTGCAAGCACCCAAAAGTGCTCCCCAAACAGCTGCATTGGGCTTCATTGGCATTGAGGCAATAAGCTCCTCTGCCTCTCTCAAGAGCCCTGCTCTTCCTAGCAGATCAACCACACAACCATAATGCTCCATTTCTGGCTCAACACCATAAATCTTTTGCATTGAATTTAATATATTTAGGCCTTTATCAACCCATCCTGCATGAGCACAAGCATTTAAAACACAGACAAGAGTAATCCCATTTGGTCCCAATACCCTTTCCCTCAGCATTTTGAAGAAGAGCTCAATAGCATCCTCCGCTCTGCCATGCATAGCAAGTCCTCCCATCATTGCATTCCAAGAGAAAACTTCCTTCTCCTTCATATTCTCAAAAACATCCCAAGCCAAGTCGATGTGCCCACATTTAGCATACATGTCCACCAAAGCAGTCCCTAAAACTGCATCCAATTTGATAGAATTTTTTCTTGCATAAGCATGAATCCACCTGCCTTGATCAAGTGCCCCCAGATTAGCACAAGCAGCCAGAACACTTGACAAGATAAATTTTTTAGGCCTAACTTTCTTTCTTTGCATCTCATTGAATGTCTCCAATACCTCCTTGTAACACCCTGTTTTGATATAACCATCAACCATAGCACTCCAAGAAATCTCATCTTTTTCAATCATTTCATCAAACATCTTTCTCGCATTCTCAACCATCCCACACCTCCCAAACCCACTTACCATTGCATTCCATGAACCAACATTCTTGCTTGACATTTTCTCGAACAACTCCTTAGCTGCTTCTACATCTCCACATTTCAAGTACCCATCAATCATCGCATTCCAACAGATAGTATCACAGTCTCCGTCTTCCTCCAGCAATCTCCGTGCCTCTTCCACATATCCATAAGATGCATACATTTGAATTCCTGCACTTCTTATATGCCCGTCTCGGCTAAGCCCATGTTTTACCACATGTCCATGGACTTGCACCCCTTCTTTAGCAGCTCCCTCAACAGCACAAGCCTTCAACAATAGAGGATACGTGAACTTGTTAGGCCTGGAATACGAAACCTCCACCAACTTATGATAAAAGTATATAACCTTACATGCCTCATCGTGCTCCAAGCACGCTTTAAGCACAGTGTTCCATACAAAAATGTTGGGCCTGTAGACATGGCCGAAGACCTTCAACGCGAAGTCCAAGCTGCATATCTGAGGATTTGCATAGCATTTCACTAAGGTGCCAGCAACATAGTGATCTTGAAAATGGCCACGCCTCAGTACCACTCCATGAACTTGCTTGAGATATTGCAGAGAATTGCCGCATTTTGTGTTTAAGAGGTGAAGGACCGTCTTCTGCGAGAGCTTAGAGGTGGGTGTATTCTCTACTGAGCAATCTTCTGGTTTGTGGCGATAAGGCAGATTTGTGGTCGTTGTACTACTTATCTCTTTCCCTCCTATCGCCATTGGTGCATGCATGCTCATGAAACTATTCCGATATTATAGTAATTGGCATATTATCCAAAATTTTCTTTTTCATTTTTAATGATTATATTATAATTACATAAACATTTTTATATTGATAGTTCAGTTTTTTAATCTTATTATAAATACTCCAATTAATTTTTAAAATAATATAATAAATTTATCTCCGTCAACACTAATAAATTAAATTTTTTAATTTTATAAAACAAACATTATAAAGGGCCACCCATAATATATATTATAAAATTGTTTAATAATTATTAAATTTATTTTTATTATAAGTACTAAGAAGATACAATATCCGGTGAAATTATTAAATAATTGATATAATTTTAACACCTAGATTTAAAATTTGAACTTGCTTTTGATACATAAAATATTATAACTTTATACTCTATATGTGTCATCTATAGAATAATTATATACTTAACCTTAACAAAAAGATAATAAATGTAAATATATATATATATATATATAGATGTGAAGTAGACAATAAGCAATAAATACCATCTTTCTTTTTATGGTTTTAAGTAAAAAATTACATAATATAAATTAAAATATATGCAAATTTATAAATAAAAAAATTATATGTAAATATTGCTAGCTATATTAAAAAAAAAAAAACGATCTTAGCATTACATTTATTGAAAATTAAAATTAAAAAAATAGTTCACTTTATATATATATATATATATATATATTAGTAAATGTGTAGATTACATACCATAGATGACTAATTCAATATCTTTGAGTGAACAATTGAATATTCTTTATGAGTAGGAAATATCATATTTCAAATGTGTAGAGAGGGTGACCCCTACGTTAGAGAGTATAAACAATAAAAAGTATTTCATTTGTAAATTTAATTGGTGAATATATTTATTATATATATATATATATATAAGTTTAAATGCATCAAACTAGTGTAAGAGAGTGTAATATTGTTGTCATTAAAAAAACATCAATTTTAATATGCATATAGATGTATATATATATATATATATATTATATGCATAATTTAACCATAGAGACACATACAATAAATATTTAAAATACTTTAAAATTATTTTTTAAAAATTATTGAAAAAGAAAACAGAAAATCCATTTTTGTAAAAAATTTTAGTTTATATATTTTTTTATTAATAAAATAAACTTTAAGTTCCGTTAAATTCAACAATTTAAACTAAAAATATTAGTTCATAATATATTTATAAAATTACGAATTTTATATTTTTTATAAATTTTAAATTTATATATTTCAACACAGAACATAATCTTAAATATTTTCTTAAAATAATCAGCTGTTAAATATTTAATTACTAAAAATAGAATGTATATACTTAGGAAATAGTTTAATGAGACAAATATAAATTTTGAAATTTCCTTTTTTAAACCTAAGAAAATTTACATAAGATATCATTATCCTAATTATGGCAAAATTAGAAATTTTCCAAATAAGCTTCATAATTTTCAGTTGTTCTCCATAACCATTAACCAATAATCTAAAAAAGCACTGTAACTCCCCTCACTAGAGAGTCTTCCATGTGTGTCTGTGTGTGTGTGTATATATATGTATATATGTATAATTAACTCAAGAAGATATATACAAACTGCTTGAGTATTTACAAATTCAGACGGTATATACTAAAGATGCAGTACCTTGTCTTAAAAAATGTCTTTGTGAGCATCCTGTTTATATGCCGCCATGCATCCACTGCAGGGACCTATGAAACCAAATACAGCGTGCAAGGTGAGATCACAAGAACCATCACAGTAGATTTATCAGGCCATGGTGATTTCAAGTCCATCCAACAAGCCATAGATTCAGTCCCATCAAACAACCAAAATTGGATTCGCATTCATGTCAAACCCGGTACTTATATGTAAGTATAAACACATATAAGTATGCACCAAAATAGATTATGTAGTAGCTTAATAGAACCTCCAATATTCATTTCCTTCTGGAGGATTATTCATATATATATATATATATAAACACATGTTTGGATATTACAGGGAACAAATTATAATCCCTTACGACAAACCCAAAATTCTTCTTGACGGTGAAGATGCAGCATCAACTGTGATCCAACATGACGAAGGTGGCGATGTGATAAATAGTAGTACATTCATATTGTCAGCGCAAGATTTTGTCGCAAGACATGTGACATTCTTGGTCAGTATCAAGTAGTTTCACACAGCAATTTAAGTAATAAATCAAACATGGTTTGAGATAATGATCTAATGTTAGCATACAGATTAATTGATTTATATTACATGTATATATCTACATGGGCGTATATGTGGGGTATATGTAGAACTCCTACAATCTAAACAGTCAGGCGCCATGGAGGGCAATAACATGGGCACCAGCAGCCAGACTGACAGAAGACAGGGCGGCATTCTGTGGCTGCAGTTTCATCAGTGTACAAGACACGTTGTCCGACATGGGGGGTCGCCATTACTTCGAGTCTTGTTATATTGAAGGTGCTGTAGATTTTATATGGGGTGCAGGCCAGTCAATCTATCAGGTAACTGTCTACGCCTTTCGTCTCTTTTTTTTTTTTAAGATTTTCTTTCATAAAATACACAATTATACTCGTATATGTATTTCATGCAGAATTGCAGAATAAAGTCAAATGGAGCTATTAGTAATGTAGCTTATATTACAGCTCAAGGTCGGGAGAGGGGATCAGATACAAATGGTTTCGTGTTCAAACAATGTTCAGTGGAAGGACCGAAGTATCAGCCCATGAGAAAATATAGACGCACATTTTTGGGGAGAGGATATAGAAATTACTCAAGGGTATTGTTCTACAACTCATATATGTCTGAAATTGTTGCTCGCAAGGGTTGGGAGCAATGGTATGGTAACAGGTAAGATTAATTCCCTCCTCCCCCAACCCCAATTTATTATTTATTATACTCTTAACTATTTTTTTTTTTTGGCTAGCTTAGTTAAACTAATGATGATTCGTTTATTATTTGTTCTGTATATTTGTATATCAATCGTGACAGGCATACACTCTGTTTTTCGGAAGCAGACAACTCTGGACCGGGTTCAGACATGTCTAAGCGAATAACTTGGATGAAAAAATTATCTCAGCAGGAAATTAATCAGTTAACCGATGTCAATACTTTCATCAATCAAGATGGGTGGTTAGAGAAGCAACCAAGAATTTAATAATCTCCTCAAATATGTTCTTATAAATGGTATATATTTAGGAGATAGGAAAGTGAAAAATTGAGGGAATGGAATCCTCTAGCTGCTATATATGAGATAATAGGAGAATGAATGAAATTGAGTGATTCAATCTGGGAGATGGAACCAAATAAAACTTATTTCCGTTCTCTCCCAAACATAGCCCTATATAAAAAATCTCTGTTGTTTTTGCTATAATAAATTAATGATATATAGTCCCTGTTGCTGAATGCTATTGTTGCCTAGCTTAAGATGCTTGTCAAGTACTAAGAAAAACTATGTATGTGTCTAACAATTATGACCTAACATTTGCATCATCTTCGTATAGTTGTGTATAGTTTTGAATATTGAAGAAGCATAGTGTCTCTGAAAGCAGTCTTATGAATATCATCTATGTGCATACACAATTGATGATAACTGAGTGCAAATCCAACTCACAGAAGTACCTGGCACCACGCAACTCCTGCAATAACTCGTAGATAACTGGGACTAAAACTTGCCCTTTTGACTGTTCTGTAGTTTGAATCTTTGGTAATCCATACAAAATCTCAAAGGATTATCACCTTTTTTCAACCAAGAAGTTAGGAAAAGAAAAGTGTTATTGTCTATGCTTAATGATGCCCTTTACCAATTTCATCTCATTGTCTCTCTTCCCCATCTCCAAGCAGACAGATAATTTGTTCCATAATCAACAAAAGCTACAAAGTACTAATTTCTTCGACAACTAATTTTGTAATGATTTAAACAAGTCAGATAATGCAGGACAAAAAGAGAGATATAAATATGTTATTTTATTGCACAACTGCACATTCCCCTGATACCCTCCTTGCCAGAGTTCAGTCGATGGCCAGTTTAATACTCATTTTTTATTATTTTCTCAATTTCTGCAACCTGCTCATCAAATAGTACTCATTGAGTGCGCCAATCAAGATTAACAAAACTACTGATAGTACCTACAGCACAAATAAGTCAAACACATTGTCCTCCACGATGCGTTGAAGCAGGGAATTGCTTCGTGCTAAGATGGAATGGAGGGGAACCTTACTGTATCAAGCAGTTTTGAAGAACATCAAGAAGTAATCCTCAAGCATTCGCGACTACTAACATCGGAAGGGACAAAAAGAAACAAAATTCTCTCTAAACGACCAATTTCGATCTCAAATTATTAAAAAAAAAAAGAAAATAGAAAGGGAGTTGTCAATACCTGATTTCAGTCAAGTCTTCAGGCAATTTCTCCTAAAAATCTTACTTTAAACGAATTCCTTGTCTGGATTTACTTTAAATTCTTTATTTTCACGAATCTCTTCTCTGAATATCGAAATTCACAGAGAGAGGGAAACGGAGGACGTGATTAAGAGAAGAGAATCGGGCACGGGCCGAGCAGGGGGGAAGAAAACGAAGAGGAGAGAGCAAAGGGACTGGACTGAAGCGGCTATATCTCCACACAACTGGGTGCTACGTGACAGTCTTTGTGGGCCGTTGATTTCTCAGCCCGGTCCATATTAAAAATTTGTCCATTTTATTTCACTTTAATTAAAAATTGGTGAAATATTTTATTAATATAATTAATTAAAAATAATATTAATTTACAGAATTAAATTTTCAATAAGTTATTAGTAGAAAAATAATATAAGACAAATAATTCGATAGAATTTTAAAAAATAAGTTAAAATTATTTGTATCAAAATGGAAATTTACATTGATTGGTATAATTCCAACACAATAAATTAGGAAACAAGAGAGAAAAAACCCGTCAAAGAAAGGTTTTAACTTCTGACAAAACAGGAAAGGGGTTTAAACCCGAAAAGGAAATGCCTTTAATTTAATTTTTCGAAGGAATAAGAATCAAGAAACAAATAATAACTAATTATATCCTCCTAAAAGAAGTCAATTATCCTCCACAAAAATTAAAATTAATTAAGAAAGTAATCGTAACTCAAATCTCCTCCTGTATATTCTACACCATAATAAGAAATTCAATATACTTTTTTACTTGTAATGTTCATCCTGCTTAGCACGTTCTGAATCTCTGACGAACATGTATATACATCTCCATAGCTCACCTGGCCTCATATATATAAGCTATATATATATATATATATAAAATAGAAGTGAAAAAAGAAACAGGGTTATTTCATTTTAAGCTATAGTAGAAAGATGGAGCTCTCTGTTCCACTTTCAACGAAATTATTGTTGATATTTTCGTTGTTAAGTGTCTTCTTGGAGATTTCTACAGCCGTAGATTGTAAATACGGAGATTCTCAATCAGTTGTATACACAATAGTTGTCGATCAGCGAGGTGGAGAAAAAATATTTACTAGAGTTCAAGAAGCAATCGATTCTATTCCTTCGCCAAATAATGCATGGATTAAGATTCAGATAAACCCGGGTGTTTATACGTAAGTAGATTACTAATGATCTTACACTTTTTTAAAAAAGTAAGAAGCAGTAATGAGATTTTTCTGAGTTAACGTTTGTTTTTTTTTGTTTGTGTTTCTTTAAATCGCAGACTTATCTTATACGTGTGTTTTTGCAGAGAAAAGGTGACAATTCCACAAGAAAAACCATGCATAGTTTTAGAAGGAAGGAGTCCAAGGATCACAGTGATCACATACGACGATCACGAGGCCACAGATACAAGTTCGACTTTCACCTCATTCCCAGATAATATCGTCGTACAAGGTATCACCTTCAAGGTAATTAATCCATATTCGATGTTTGTTATTATTAATCTTTCATTATTCATCTCGAACGTTCAAATTGGTGCTTATAATTAGCAGAAACTTACAGCTTGGTGCTACAAATCATGCAGAAGATCTCGAACATTCAAATTGGTGTTTATAATTAGCAGAAACTTTAGAGCTTGGTGCTACAAATCATGCAGAAGGATCAAAGTTGAAATATGGTTTTGCATTTAAGGTTATTTTGGTATTCCTCCAAAATAGCTAATTAGTTAATTAAGTTAAATTTGGAAATAAGTACTCAAACTAGTAAATATATAAAACGAAAATCCTCAATTAAATAGGAAAATTAATCAGCTATTCACTGATTCTGGACGAGCTTGGCCTTCTATATATATATATATATATATATATCTTGTAAAAATATTACTCAGTGGATAAGTCTATACATATTTTGATATGATCTTTTCGTTTCTTCTCTTTTCGGAATTTGCAGAACTCGTTCAACCGTAAAGCATTAATGGCTGCACAAGCCCTCCGAGAGAAGAAGGAGATTGATGATTACAGAGACGAAATGATTATAAAACAAGCGGTGGCGGCGAGAGTGTTTGGTGACAAAGTAGCCTTCTTCGAAAGCGGGTTCATAGGATTGCAAGACACGCTGTGGGATGTTCAAGGTCGCCATTACTTCCATAATTGTTACATTGAAGGGGCTATCGACTTTATTTTTGGATCCGGTCAATCCATATACGACGTGAGGTTCTTACAAACTTGTTTGGTTATAATGATTCGGAGTCTGTTCCAAATATAAAACCCTTTCCATGGCCGGTTATTTTTAAGTTACATATAATATTAATAATGTTTGTTATAGTAATTGTAGTATTTTTCTTCCATATTCTATATGCATATTGTTTCTTTTAAGAAAGAACTCATGTATATATTGAAGTAATCATATATATTTTTCATGTTAATATTTATATACTGACAGAATAAAATTTTAATTTTAAAATTAAAAGAAAATAAAAATATAAAAGAGTCCCTAGATTTTCTTTAGGATGAGGATTCTCAAGTTTAGGGACTTCAAAGGCAAAGAGTAAGCTCATACATACATACATACGTACATACATACATGTATATATAAAATATTTATAAGATTACTAATGTATAAATATAATATTAAACATAAACATAGGTACAATATTATGTTCGCGGAGATTAATTGCAGCGGACCGGGAGCCGACGGTGATGGACGCGTTGGGTGGCGGAAGGACGTGAATGGGGATGATCTAAGGCGATATTTTTCAATACCATCTTTCATCGACCAAGACGGATGGATTGCCAGACTACCATGCTGGGATTAATCCTCCCTTCCTACTACATATGGAAGATGTTGAATTTGTAATTATTAATTAAATTACATATGTCAATTATGATATTACTCTCATAATGACATATATATATAAATAATTCCATTCAATTTTATATATATATATATATTAATATAAATTACGTGCACCTAATTGAATTTATTCTAAATAAAAATTGATGTTTTATTAATGATATTAAATTTAATTTACATACCATATTGTAATTTTAATGTAATATTTATATTTTAAACGAGTGAATTTAAATTTAATATTGATAAATAAATAATAATATAGGAAAAAAAAACTTATACTTCCCAACTCGGTACTACACTTTCGATGGTGCCACCGGGGCGAACGACTTTGGGTTTTGTGGGAAATCAGGTTGAAACGTGGAAAAATGTTATTGGTCCACGAACGCCGCAGGGTCCCACATGTGAAACGAAACGACCATGTGGATACGCATGGCCACACGTTTCGCCTCCTCAGCCCGCGTTGAGCTGTCCGCCACCGGCGGACTGAAGCGAAAACATTCACAGATAAGGTTCTCCCCTCCTCCTCCTCCTTGATTCGCCACTACCCAATAAGAGAAACCCGCCCGGTTACGGAAACACAGACATTATTATATCTGTTGGTGAAAGAATCCTGTTTTTTTTCTCTCTCTTTGTTTTGTTTTGCGATTTTCTGCTCAAGTGAAGGAAGTCGAGAGATTAAAGACGGGATTTTTACATCTGGGAATTTCTTGATTCTTTTTGAGGACTGCATGAGTAGTCAGGAACTGAACTATTGGTGCTCCAAGATTGAGTGCTCGAAGAAGAAGTTGCGGCAAGAGCTAAAGCGAGCATGGCTATGTCTATGGTTACCGTCAGTCAATCACCATCTTCGCGTTTGTTATACCATTTTCCGGTTAGAGAAGGTTCTATATCGGCAACGCTTTCTCATCGAATTCGCCATCGCTTCCCTTATTGCAGATGGGTGAGCAGCAATTCCCTCTTTGCCACTCACAGGTAAAAAAAAAATTAAACTAGGTGTTGGTTGTTTTTCTCTGCTCTGTGCATTTCGTAGAATATGTGAGAAATGGATAGCAAGTTTTTTAATCAGTGCTGACTTTATGCAATTATCAAATGGATTCAAAGAAAATGAAAAAGGAAAGCTGAAGCTTCAAATTTTCACTGGTTTTTTGACGCAGTAGTGAATTTGGTATATTGCATCTATGTTTTGCTGGCAGTTAAACTATTGGGTCGTAGGGAAATTGACGGAAACTGAAAAGAGAAGTTTAAAGTTTGTGCTTTTTACTGCCTTTTGGGCTTTTAGAAAATTGATATACTGCTTCTGAACGCCCTGAAAAGCTTCTTAGCTGTGAAACTAGTATTAAGTTCGAAGTTTCTGTTTTTCACCACATTTGGAACAGCTAGTGAAATGGGGACATTTATGCTGCTTGGCTAGACTATGCTACTTGCTGGTGCATGGTAGCACAGTCTACACAAATGCATGCATTAAAGGGTGTGATTCAAGTATAAGTTTGAAAACAAACTCTTCTACGGATGCTCTCTTATGAGAAGTCATTGTGAGTACTAACCATTTTCCCTCATTCTTTTTCCTACTAGGTCTGGTAGCTTTTATTCAAGGTGTTCAATAACAAATACTGATGTATGTCACAACCAAGTTGCTACTGATGGAGAGATTGCAGATGATTTAGCAGCAGTGAATGCAGATTGTCCAGTCCCAATTGTCCATCTCAATTCGGACATTCTCGAAACTGAATCTTTGAGCTTACTAACTGAGTGCACTTATGTAGACAGTATTTTGACAACATTGCCGGTATTCTCCCTCCTGGCCCATTAATTAACTCCTTTTGTTGTCAGAATCTCTAAGATTTATATCATTTATGTCCCCTCTTCACCTTTCCAGGTTTTAACAGAAGAGGAGCAGAATGCCCTGGCAGCAACTCCAGCACATCCAGAAGGATTGTATGGTAATGACATTCATTTGCTAGCATGCTTAAACCTGGTTGATAGGTTGAGACACACGAAATAGCCCTGTAAAGTTGAATATCGTGAGTCGAATTTTTCTATCTGTGATCAAACTTTTGGAACTCACCAACATTATCCCCAAAATTTAAGATAGTAGATGAGTTCCTACTCTGTTCTGAGGCAAATATTCCTTTGAGCATATATTGTATCAATGATTTTGTTCTCAACAGTTACCTACCTGAATCATCCCTCTTGTCTTTGCTCTTTTGTTAGAGTAGAATATCCATTACCTTCTAATGATTGAGTAGAACTAATTCTCAAGAATGTGTATGTTCTTGTATTTTAGACAAGTTATTCTTCCTTTATCTCTTACAAAATGCCGCCTTTATATTTACACTGTCCACAATTCTTGTCCATTATCATTACTCAAAGCACTTAAGCTTCCTATGCCATTTGGATCTCAATGTGATAACTGCCAGTGCAAATGATAAACTTTGATCATTAACTAGGACAGCTATTTCGTTTTTCAGAAGGTTAACTAAGACAGCTTTGGGAAAGGTGGAAACACTTAATTGTCAATGTAAATATGCTTCAAGAATTTAATTTTTCTAAGAGGAAATCCTTTGTAAGAGTGAGGGAGAGTAGTTAAGTAGTTGTTTTGCAGATTTAAAGCATGGGAAGTGTTATGATTAATCCAGTATAGGACTAGTCTAAGAATAGCTATTAGCCTTCCAATTGTTATAAGTTCAAGTGGTTCATGCCTAACAAAGTCTTAAACTGCTAATTAAATTTAAGATGGTTGATAAGCAATTTGTTCATTAAAAAGCAATTACTGACCTGATGGGAAAATGTTCTTCAGCTTTTTATGCTAGCTGCTTGGCTGGGAATTTGGTGGAGCAGCTCTGGAATTTTGCTTGGCCTTCTGCTATTGCATTGCTGCATCCAAGCCTTCTTCCAGTGGCAGTCATTGGATTTTTTACCAAGGTTGCAATTACTCCAATATACAAATCAACTTTAGAGTTTGAGATGGAAAATTTTACTTATAAGTTTATGTTTTATAGATTGCAATAATTGTTGGAGGACCTTTAATTGGAAAACTTATGGATCATTCTCCAAGAGTGCCTGCATATATATGTTTGAACACTTTCCAGGTAATATTTGTGTTAGGAATTAATACCTTCTGTCTGCAAATCAGCCATGATCACTCTTCATTATTCTCATTTTTTTTCTTTTCTTATGCTCCTCCCAGGCAGCGGCTCAGTTGCTTTCAGCTGCAATGATAATTCACGCGCATACTGCTTCTTCCACCTCTATGCCAACTGCACTTTTCCGTCCTTGGTTTTGTGTACTAGTATTGGCAGGTGCTATAGAAAGACTATCTGGAGTAGCATTGGGGGTCGCTATGGAGCGGGATTGGGTTGTGCTGGTACTGCTTTTTGTTCATCATTGTCCCCTTTATTAGTATCCTTATCCATGTTTTCCTTCTCTCCTTAAATTGAGCATGTTGTATCTTGTTTTCTTTACATGTACAGTTAGCAGGTATAAATAGGCCAATTGCTCTTGCACAAGCAAATGCTATTCTCAATCGAATCGATCTGCTCTGTGAGGTGATTGCTGACTTTAAATTAATATTAGTTGGTTTTTGCGATATATTTCTGTAGAGCTCAATAAGTTGTAAATCCAGGAATATTGTCACACTTATTTTACCAATCTGGTGAACCAAATATGTTTTGTAAAACACATTATTACTAGGGAGCTACAGCTGGAATGCTTATGATTATTTGCAAGTACAGATAGCTGGAGCATCAGTATTTGGCCTTCTTCTCTCTAACTATGATCCAGTGACATGTTTGAAGTTCGCTGCTGGTTTAATGGTCTGGTCGTTGCCTGTCATGGTAAGCAGTGGTCTTCTTCTTGACTGTAATCTTTCTCACCTTGGAAATAGGGTCCACATTCAGTTTTAACCAGAAGAGCATTTCTCAGATTTTTCTTGTATGGTTAACGAACAAATTGTCAACTGGGGTTCTTGACCGTGCTAAATGTTCACATAGCTGTTGTAGAGCTTCCGATGAGGGACCTCTTCCTCATGCTAACAACATAGGTAGAGAATAAACTTATTTCTGTGATCACTTTGAAGTAGCTAATTTGGTTGTATCTATATTTGTGATTCTTTGTCTGGTAATCAGTGGATTCAGGTGTAGAAGCTATTAAGCTAGGATGGAAGGAATACATTCAGCAACCAGTTCTTCCTGCAAGCCTAGCTTATGTGCTTCTCTACTTCAATGTTGTTCTTACTCCTGGGAGTTTGATGACGGCATTTCTAACACAGCGTGGTATATTTCTAGCTTATATACATTATTACCTGGAATTTATTTGAGAAATTTCTGTCTTTAGTAATTCAGATCTCCAGCCTCTTGTCAACATTATAACCTGCATTGAAGTGTGCCATCTCAACCCAGATATTTCATTCATTACTAGAGTGGTAGTGTTTTTCACTGAACCTTACCAGAGTGATGTATATACACATGCAAATTGTTGACTTTTTTTTTTTTGAAATAAAAAGTGTACACACAAACTGTTGAGTATATTCCTTGATAATCACAAACTTCAATCTGCTGGGTTTGACTATTAAATTGTCCTGTGCATTGATCATATAAACATTGTTGTGAGAAAAGTGGAATTGATGAGTCATTGGTTCCTCAATGCATGTCGTATGTAAGCAGAGGATGATAAAATTTTCTAGCATGCATGTGATTTCTTCTTTAATCAATGAAGATACTCCCAGCATGCATAACTTCTTCTACCATCTGTTCTGAAGTTCCTTCATGAGTTTGATATATAACCAGATATTTTTACCAGGTTTAAATCCTTCCATCATTGGGGCTTTTAGTGGATTATGTGCTTTTATGGGTGTTGCAGCAACATTCTTATCTGCAAACCTGGTCAAGCAATTTGGTATCTTAAAGGTTGCTTCCTATCAGTTTTTCCTCGTGCTATTATCTTAAGAAATTTTTGATGGCTGTCTATTTCTCATGTACTGGCTTTTCCCTTCTGGTTCTTTATCAACAAATTCCAGGCTGGAGCAGTTGGATTAATATTTCAAGCTTCACTTCTTGCTGTAGCTGTTGCTGTGTATTGGAGTGGATCTCTTTCACAGCAAAGCCCAGTTATTTTCTTCTTGTGCTTAATTGTGAGAAACATTGTTAACTTGCTTTTACTATTATTTTTATTGTTGATCTTGTACAATCACTTGTCAGCATGACTTGACCCCACGATACAGAATAAGGTTAAGGCATGATGTAGCTTAGTAAATTTGGCCAGCTTATTGGTAAATTCTGACACTGGTGGTTTCATAACAGAGCTAACTAATCCAATATTTCAGTCTTTTGTTCCATTGTTCTTGCATTGTGCGTGATACCAGCACCTTGAAGTTTTTTCCTTTTCGTATGCAGGTATTATCAAGGTTGGGACATATGTCATATGATATAGTGGGCGCACAGATTCTTCAAACCGGGATACCATCCTCCAAAGCAAATCTTATTGGGGCAACAGAAATTTCTGTTGCAAGTTTAGCAGAGTCCATAATGTTGGGAGTTGCAATAGTTGCAAATGATGTTTCACATTTTGGGTTTCTAGCAGTTCTGTCACTTTTATCTGTCATTGTTGCTGCATGGATGTTCTGCAGGTGGCTGTTGAATCCAACAGATGAGCAAAGAAATCTTTTCTCTTTTGACCCGCAGTCTTAATTGTCAGTGTAAGCATTTGTTTACTATAATGTTGTGTATGGTTAAATTCTCATTTAATCCTTAATCAATTTTTAATTCTAAATGGGAACTGAAGCAAACGCAAAACCTAAGTGTCAAGGAAATTTGTACAGTGGTAGGATACAGATTTAGTTAGAAGGTAAAGGAAAAACATTTACCCGTTACCATGTGAGCTTTTCTGAAAATGTTCGACATAAAGTTTCATTTTTATCTGTCTAATGTTGGATTGTATTACCATTGGTTATGAATATCAGGTCCCTGAGGATAGAAAATGTTGACAAGAGTTCTCGATGTGAATTTGAGTTGATATGATCGTAATATAATCATTTTGTCTTCGTTTGTTGTGGGATAAATAGCAGACACAACCTCCCCCATTGCAACTGCTCTTCAACAATGACCCATATTCAATTTTGCAGCTTCCACATCTATTTACTTACTAAGAAGGCATGTCTGCAGGGCTCACCGAATTATTAGCTTATCTGCTGCGCAGTGTGGCTCTACTGCAAAAAAAGAGTGAAATGGGCGTTTGTATCTATGCGAAACAAGTAAAATGTTAGAGCAGAAAACAGAGATTAGGTTTTTGCTCGTTTTCTGAATCCAAAACTTGTACAGACACTTTGAAAAGAAAAGAGAAGAAGTTGTTAAAAGCAGGGAAAAGAAATGTAAAGCGTTGATTTGGTAGGCAAACAAGACTGTAAAGAAAATGATTAATTGAAAATGTTTTGGTTGTTCATGTATCTGCTCTTTTATTCTACTGTGGTGCAGGAGAAGAGTTCATGGTGATGATTATAGGTGAACAGTTTGTTCAAAAGAAACTTGATTTTAAGGTTTTAAGTAATCAACTAATCAATTAATAATGTTGGTTCTAAAGACAGAATGGTGGTTAGCGAAAAGAGGAAGAAACATGTTTGAGAAAGAAACAAAGGAAAGTTGACTTGATACAGTAGAGTTGAGTGGTAATGGGAGGCTGGAGGAGGCATCCATTGGGTTTTGCATCAGTCAACGGCAACGGGACGTACCCGTCACGAACCCTGGCCCCATGAGTTAGAGTGGTACTGTTAAGAACATGGGTGGGGGGGTGTATTTATTGTTCTCGATAAGATACATGTCTTTCTTTCTTTCTTTCTTTCTTTCTTTTCTGTTCTTGTCTTTTGATTTTTTTCAATTTTCAACAACAAAAAATAGGATGATATTTGGGATTTCAAGTTACAAAGACAGTCACGTGAATCAAGGCCAACTTCACTTCATATTACCGCCATTAACTCTCTACTCCCTCTCTATCCTTATTATATACTTACACAAATACACACACAATACATGCATGCATACAATCCCGTGTTTGTCGCGTGTATTTTGCTCTTCTCTGAACTTGTTCAGTTTCCTCTGTACTTTTCTCGCCATAAATTCTTCGTTCTTTACCTTTTACATTACTTTTTAATTTTCTGAAACTTAAAAGGTTATTTTTACATCCCAACGAGGAGCTTACTACTCTTTTCATGGTGATAAACGAGGCTGGAATGGTAATTATGTAACCCTCTCGAGGAGATAAACAAATTACTTACGCTTACAACATCATGAACTCCATTTCCCAAAACTAAAAAGAATTTCTACAACACTTGTCCCAAAAAAAACCTTGAGTGCACACACATTTCTACATTCAAATCAATAACCCACTTTGAAACTTGGGTGAAATACATACATACATACATACATACATATATATATATATATTACTTTTAGTTTTTTTTTTGAAAAAAGATCATTTCCATCAATCCCAAAATCATACTACGAAAGAAAGAAAAGAAATCCCATGTGAGTTCCCAATAAAAGAAAAGAATCTCTCTCTCTCTCTCTCTCTCTCTCTCTGTCTATAGATGTTTTAGATTGAGTAAATATTAAGATTATAAACTTGATTTATTAAAAAAACGATAATCATAAAGTTAAGAACAATAAATTCAAAGTTTATATACTGCGTCTGTCAAGACCTCCCAAGAACCACTCTCCCATCTCCATCATTTTCAGTTAGACTAAATATGAAAGTAAAACCCAAAAGAAATGAGCTTTCAAAATTTTACTAATTAATAAATATGAAAAGAAAAAGATTCACTCAACAAATAAATAAATAAAACCATCTTTCTCTCTCTCTCTCTCTTTCACTTTCACTTTCATTCAATCAGTAGTCACCATCCCATGATTTTACGTCACTTCTTATATTTATTCCTCAAGCCAAGTTATGGTTCTTTTACTTTGTATTCTGAAAATAATGGCTTTTTCAAATTAGTTCTAACCCAACCTAAGATAATCCATCATTTTAACTTTTAATCTCACTTTTGGAAAGTTATAAGTTTTACTTTTAACTGTTTTCCAAGGGTTTTAATCAAAATTTCTCCTTTGTGAGTGCAAAAAGAAATACAGAAATGCAATAACAAAGGACACGCTAACATCAAAATGTTGTTCAACTTACTTAATGTTACCCAAGAACCCTTCTTTCCTCTTGTTTCGAAAGGAGAGTTTCGAAAAAAAAATTATTCTTTTCACCCCAAAACTTCTGTTCTTGTTAGTTGCCACAGTGATTTAGACTTGAAAGCTCCCATCTTTTCATGTCTACGCTGACACTGATAGTTGATATGTATCACCGGGCTTGATCATGTCCTCTTTTGACCCCTCTGTTTCTTTCACCCTTTCTGCTTCATCATCATCATCATCATCATCATCGTCTTCTTCTTCTTCCTCTTCAAGCTCTCTGTTGAGTAATATTACAACCCAGGCTCCTCCTCACTCAGCTGCAGCTTTATAAAATATTAAAAAACTAGAGAAAGAGGTGGTGATGGGGTCTCGAGTTGGTCAAATTGCTAAGAAGGCAATGTGGCTGTACCCAAAGGTTTTGGGGTTCAGTCCTCCCGAGAGATGGGGGCACTCTGCTTGTTACTCTCATGGGCTTGTTTATGTTTTCGGGGTATGTACGTATAACTTTTCTTGGATAATTTTTTTTTTTTAAACTCCTTTTATGTTATTTTGTTTTGTGTTCTCTATCTGTTTGATTTTATTCTTCTTTGAAGGTACTACACTACAACTTTCACATGGTTGATTTCCTCTGAGTAGTAGTTGGATTAGTATCAGTTAACTGATAGTGGATTGATATGGTGCTTAGTTCTTTTTTTTTTTTTAATTTTTATTTTTTTATTGAAGAGAATATGGAGTAGAGTACAGCTATTTTTGGACAGAGAAGCCTACACTTTCTTAGCTTGGCTTTAGTTCTTTGCCACTTTCTCTATTATTTCTTGTAGGAAAATCTAAGTCAAATAGCCTGTTTTCTGTTTCACTTTCTTCAATTAGCAGGGCAGTTCTTGGGTAACATAAATATCATCATGATTCTTTCTTGATATAGAAATGTTATTCTTTAGCTTCTTCATTTTCATTTACTCATCTGGCTTGGTTTGTTGTTGAGAAGATCACATTTTCTGAAAACTTCTGTTGGTTTTGTGTTCATAAATACCATCATGTTGCCGGAGGGAAAATGACTAATTGCTACTTATTTCATGCCTGTTTCTTCCACGAAGGACTTAGAACCAACTAATTGCTACTTATTTCTGAAACCAAGTTCTTTCAAGGACTTGATTACGTAGAGGAAAAGCTTTTGAGACCTACTAGGATGAAGCTAGATAAATTCATCTGAGGATGAGTTGGTCTTGACTTCTATTCTGATAGCCACTCTGATCAATCTTTGTATATCCATTACAGGGATGTTGTGGAGGTTTGCACTTTGGTGATGTTCTCGCACTAAATCTCAACACAATGGCTTGGGACACTCTTGCAACCACGGGTCTAGGGCCTGGTCCGAGGGACAGCCACAGTGCTGTTCTTGTGGGGAACAGGATGATAGTGTTTGGAGGTACAAATGGTTCTAAGAAGGTAAATGATCTGCATATACTCGATCTTGAATCGAAAGAATGGATGCAGCCTGATTGTAAAGGTGCTGCTCCTTCTCCTCGCGAAAGTCATACTGCAACACTTGTTGGCAAAGACAAATTAGTAATATTTGGGGGTAGTGGAGAAGGTGAAGCGAATTACCTGAATGATTTGCACGTTCTAGACCTGAATACAATGAACTGGACTTCCCCAACTGTGAAAGGTGATATTCCCGTCCCAAGAGACAGTCACAGTGCTGTTGCCATAAGTAACAAGCTCTTTGTGTATGGTGGTGATTGTGGTGATCGGTATCATGGGGATGTTGATATGTTTGACCTGGATACATTAGCCTGGTCAAGGGTATGAAACTCACCTTTCCTAACTCACAATATCAGTGTCCGAAAATCAACTTAAATTGTTAATTTAAATGGAAGTCGATGCTCATGATTGTTTCATTCTTTAACAGCTGGCTGTTCAAGGGCATTCACCAGGTGTTAGAGCAGGTCATGCTGCTGTAAATATTGGCACAAAGGTAAGTGATTAATTGCTGAAGTAGCAGTAACAAGCGAGGTTAATTTCTGTATTGATGATATCTTTGACTCACTGACTTCCCATGATTGGTAGGTGTATGTCATTGGAGGGGTTGGAGACAGACATTACTACAACGATGTTTGGATCCTTGATGTAAGCACTTGTTCATGGACTTATCTTGATATACGAGGCCAGCAACCTCAAGGGCGTTTCTCTCATGCTGCTGTTGTTACAGACTCCGATGTTGCAATCTATGGGGGGTAAATATCTATAACCATCTAGTACCTTGGTCTTTCTGTGCATGTAACTAATATTTGTGTTCCATTAATATGTGCAGGTGTGGGGAGGATGAACGTCCTCTCAACGAATTGTTGATCCTGCAGCTTGGTGCAGATCATCCCAACGGGCGGTACAACATCTCCATGTGCAAAAATTTTGGGAACCATTGGAACCAAGAGAAGAGAAGGTTTCTAAGAGGAGTGGAGAACAACATGGTAATTCATTTCAAGAAGTCCTTAGATGTAGATACATCCATGTTCTTTTGGCTTCTCAAATTAGTAGTAGAGATTTTATTTAATTAACTACGTTTTGAAGCAGAAACCGATGCTTTGGGCCAGCAATGGAAGAGTAAGCAAGGGACCTCCCGAATCAGAGTTAGAACCGAATCAGTCCTTCGGGGTCTTTTCAGGTGTGTTAGAATGAAGCATCAAACTCATTGAGTCGAACTGTATTCATGAGTTTTGAAACAAATTGACAAAGGGTTTTTTTAATTGAATCCTATAGATTCTTCACATCCAAAGAGGCGAAGGAGCTCCAATTCAAAGGCACTGGAAGTTGAATCAGAACAAGAGGAGCATTCCCTTTCTCTTTCTCAGAATTCATCTCCATCACAATCTGATCAGGAACAGGTGACGCCAGTACTCAAAGGCACCGAATCTGTTGCAGGCAATCAAGGGTTTCATTTGTTCAAGCAACTTAATCAGATTCCAAGCAGTTGTCAGCCTAATAATGCCGCAAACAACCACAAAGAAGCCGGAGATATGGTCCTAAGGTGTTCACATGATTTACAGTTCTTGGGAGAACACCGAAACCATCAAAAACAAGAACGAATTCACCAGACAGTTCATGCTAGCAGACAAGGATCCCAGCACCAGGCAGCAGGACATAAAACTTCTGAAACGGGTCCTGTTCAAAATCTGGTATGCACTGTCTACACATGCTCAACCTTTTTCAATTTCAACAAACTTTTTTAAAGCAAAAATTTAAGGTATGATTCGAATGAATCAAGAAATATAAACATAATTTAAGCAAAAATTTAATTTATTTCCGCAAGTTCTGGTATTTTAACTTTAAAAAAAAAAAATGATTCCTTAGATCGGTGCTGATGTCCGTGGTAAAGTTGACGGAGCCTTTGACTCAGGATTCCTAATGACAGCAACTGTTAACGGGAAGATTTTTAGAGGAGTCTTATTTCCACCTGTAAGCTTCCATGTTTGAGTTACTCAAAACTTCAATTTCTTCAATTTTTGCTGCTTCTTCAAAGCACGTTCTCTTATCGTTTTTAGGGACCCGGGATCATCTCAAGAGCAGCAATGGTTCCGCAAACTCCATTTCCAACAACAAGCCAAATTGCCATTGCTCAACCATTTATGAGCTCGAATCACATAGACGTCTTAAAGCCTTCTCGGCAGCAAATGCCAGTAAGGCTGTCCGTGGTAGATGTGGGTCAGAGCCACCGGCAAGCTCAAATCAACAGAGGTTTTCCTGTCATTAAGGCCACCCCAACTGCAGCCAAAGAACCAAAACTGAGAAGTGATCTTAGTGGTGTTGTTCTGACACTAGGAGGACCCGGAAGTGGCCATATTTGATCACACACGCACAAAGAAAAAAAAAAAAAAAAATTACATTTTTAGCATCAAGCTTTTGGCCTTTTTGATTTTCTTGTACATCTTTGGTTAAAAGTATCTTCCTCCTAGTTTCTACTCAATAAAAATGGTAGCTTGTCTGTCGCTTTATCTTCTTCTCATACTTGTTTTTCCTTTCTTTTTCTGGGTTGGAAAATGGAAGTAGAAGGTTTGAATGTTGATGAACAAAAGATTTGGTTAATTGGCAAAAGTGAAGTGCAGAAAGACAAAGCAGGAGACAGAGTAGAGTTTCTTTGGTGGTTGGTTGGGTTTGGGATGCCGCCACCAATTCTCCATCATATCCTCCTGAGAAGATTCAATCATGAGACATGAAATGACAATGCGAAGAACCAATTACTTCTTTGTTTTGGATTATTATCTGGCCTGCAATTTACCAAACTCTTCTCCTCAAAGAGCCTTCAACACCCTCCTTCCCCCTCCCCCCCCCCCCCCCCCCCCAAGAAGTAATAATAAATAATAAATTAAAATTTTATTTTATAAATTAAAATTTATCCCATATTTAATTATATAAGAATTTTAAATGTGCGGGGAGAATAAATAAATAAATAAATAAATATGGGACCCACAGAATACGAGAGAGATGACGTGGGCCACTGTCTCTGAAGGGAAAGCACCCGCGCATCCCGCGCGATACTGTCTGCGTCTGCGTCGAGAGCGAGAGTTTTCTTACGGGAAAAGAGCAGTCACTGTCAGCCGTCCGATCTGTCTGCCACGTCATTGATAGATATTGAGTGGGGTCTCATCCTGCGGTCACGTGTCGTGTCAACTCATGATTCAATCATATCCAAATTAAATTCATATCATTTGACAACACCTCCCTTCTGACCTCCATTGCGTCATCCACGTAATCTCCCCCTTCCTCTGACATCTCCCGTACTAGATTCCTGGGCCCGCCTCAGACTGGGCCAGGCCCAATAACATTTAAATATTAGAAATCATACCAACCCTCCAAACACGTAGCCACTTTATTTGCATTCCCACACAATGCATGTAAGTGAACGTATACGTATGGACTCTCTCTCTCTCTGTGAAACCCAAATATGAATGTCACTAATCTACAGCAAGGCGCCATAGCAGCACGGCAAAAAAATGATGCCATCTTCTTATTCTTCCAAACTACGGTCTATACATATACAGGCACTCGAGACTTGAGACTCGTGTAATGCAAAATCTAAGAGGCTCAGCTTCCAGTGCCAGAGGATACGGAGATACAAAATTTCAATCTGTCTTTCATATGTTATTTTATTCTAAAACACAAACAACTTTATTTACAAGTGTCTTAAGATCACAATCTGGATCCGTGTCCATCAAAACTTACTAGCAAATGGACCTTAACACGCAGACACCGAAGGCATCTTCTCGTGCACTGCCTTGTAGCATTGGAGACTGCAAAGGGGAAGGTTCGACTTGGAATCTCTGTATTTGTATGGATTTGAACATGATGGACCGGCGCATTTCTCACGTGGAGGAGGGTAACTGATATTTTGAATTGAAAGATAATTAGTTAAATTAAAATAATTGATGACTGGAAATGTGCAAGGAGATAAACATGTTATCTCCAAGAAAAAAAAAATATAGAAAACATGTTATCTTGTCAGGTGTCTTCTACGCATAACAGAAGCATTACAGCATCGGAACAATTCATTCTGCAAACTTATTAACAAAGACCTCGACACATACATCTACAAAGTAGTTTAGAATGTTTTCATCGTAATTCAGAGAGCAAAATGAGAGAGGAAGATGTAAGCGTTTTGAATTTTAAGATTATTTAGGATCTGTACCTGCAGGGCTTAGGGTCAAAAATATTTGGCAAGCCAACCTCTTCGGGGAATGTCACAACTGTTCCTGAGGGACCCATGACCCATCTAACGGTGTCTGCTGCAAGTATGGAAGCATTTGCAGCCCTCTCCTGTAAAGATGATACCAAAACTGAGTCGAATACTCCACATGCTCTAGAGAAAAAAATACTCACTGTGAACTGCTTGTTACCTGAGCCAATTCTTCTTGCTGTTTTTTCATCTTCGCTTCCCGCTTTTTCCTACTGGAATCTTGTCCCAGAATTTTTCTGATTGCCTCAGCCTAGGAATTTCAGACCAAATGCTCACTCAATATTCCTTGAAACATATTATTCAATCAAGATGGTAGAGAAAGGGAGGGTGGGTTCACACCTCAGACTCCCTAGCTGCCTTTTCCACTTGCATTCTGCGTCTCTGGGCAGCCTCAGCTTTCTTCAGTTGCTGCTCTAACTCAGAGAGTTTCTCCTTTTGTTCTGTCATCAAAACAAGCAATAGCATAGATTCGAGAGACTTTTGACAAATTTTTGACAGAAGAACCATATAGAACAATAATAACAACTACAACAACAATAATAATAATAATAAACCAAGCATGGCAGCAATAGTAGCTTACTTCTAGGTGGAGCAGGGGGTAGCCCACCTGGAAACACAATCAGATTTGCAGCAATACCAGAAGAGATTTCTTTGCCTGTTTGAAGTGCACGCTGACGTGTAGTGACTGTCATTTCCTTCTTAGGGTCTGCAAATAAATCGACTGTCTCTTTTCTTGCCTTCTTCCTCTTACTTTCTGGCTCACCATCTGAAACTGCCTCTTCCTCATTTTCATCTTCTTCTACATAATCGGTATCCACTGATACTCTGCCTGACCTATACCTTTTACCTTCCTTCCCTAATCTTGATGAGGCATCTACTTCATACAAGCTATCCACATTCCGCTTCAATACTTTTGATATCCTTCGATGTTTTCTGCTTCCTCCTTCGTTCTCACGTTCCATAGCAGAAGAGAGCTTAGATGGTTTTATCTTCTCAGGATACCGAATTTCATCATCATCATAACCAGCATCCTCACCTCCATCATCAAGGTCTACGTCCACTAAGCGTCTCTTAGGAACTCGCTTGCTCTTACGAAGTGGCTCGTACCTATCTGTTTGTTTTGTTGGGATATCCTCATCAGGCATCTTCTCTCTTAAAGTATCTACTTTTCCAGCACTTGAACCACTTCTAAAGAAATCCTTCCAAGGAGCACCTTGTATGCTACTGCCCTTATCAGAAGAAAAGGAAGGGTTATCACCAAAGCTTTCCTGCACACAAAAATGTAGATAATGACAAACCTCCTTAGTATCCCTGTTGAGTCAAATAGCCTGGAAAAGTCTTTGCGACAGCTACGTAATCTGGTCTAAAAGCCTAGAAAATGGACCCAGCATAAAATTACTTTCGAAAGACAAGTACCTGAATCATCCGCTGCTGCTGTCGAGGGACATCTGAAATATGAGAAGATTTTGTGTTAGACGATACAGCTGCCGAGGCGCCATCAGATACAGATTTTGCACTAATAGTCCGTGTGACACTGCCAACCTTAAGCTTAACCTTTTTAACTTTGTTCTCATTTCCTAATTCGTCTGTAATGACTACCAGATTCCCCAAGTTGCTTGAGCCTTTCCAATTTGTTGGTGCAAGGACTCCTTCCCTGAACCTTTTGGAATCAACAACACCATGCCTCTCTTCATTACTGCCTCGGAAAGAACCATTGTTAGAAGCCCCATCAGATTCTATGAATCCCCCATCTTCAGCCCTGATCATATTTCGAGAAGATTCAGCTTCGGGAATGTTACTAAATGAAGCCCTTGAACTGCATACTTTTAAACTGGCTTCCTTTTTGGGACCAACGGAACTGCAATCATAATTATCATCACTTGAAAATTTGCTAACATTTTCTGAAGGGGGAGTGGATGACAGGGAGGAAACCTCCTGGAACTCTGAATGGGGCTGTGAATCATTCCAAGGCCGACGTGATGTATTACTTCGCTTCTTCCTCACAGAACTGCTCATATTACCAAATCCCAAGCCTCCCAAACCCTCCATAGATACCAACAAGGTCAAAGAAAGTCTAGTTCGGTGCTGCTTTAAGCAAAATAATAGGAAAAAAGAAAAAGAGGTCCGAGTTTGTTGACATGAACAGTCAGTAAGCATGAATCCCATAAGCAATGTAAAGATGAACACATCAAACACATTGAAATACTACAGAATTACATAACTAATACACATCCATATCGTCAGAGACAAGAAGATACAGAAAATCAATTCACTTTTGCAATAATAACCTTAAACAAAACCTCTCCCAGAACTCTGATTAGTCAATTGGCAACACACTGAAGTATCAAACTAGCTGGAAAAATAAATCCTTCATCCATAAAGCAACTGAGAGATAGGGAGACAAACATCAAATGGAATATCACGGTAAGACAACTGTCTTTAATTGAATTTAGGCTCAGGCAAGTGTTTATCCACCAACTAGACCTAGGAATATAACTAAATTTCACACAAGAGAATCTCTAGACAAGAAATTCGAACTTCATATAAAAATCCAAGTATAAGCAACTAAAAATTAGAACTGAGCTAAGAAAACCAAACAAAAACCAAGAAGAAAAAGATACTCCATGCAATCCAAGTAAACCTAACAGCATCTAAATTGAGTTGAAGAAGACTAAAAACTTAAACCAGCCAACATCGACACACCCAGTTGAAAATTTCTCAAATATTATATAACGAAAGGAAAGAATTTTACCCTTCTGGTTCTGGATCGTCACAAGGGACATCGGATCATCAGATCCCCATATGGAAAAATCGAAGTGAACATAACCGAAAGAGAGAAAGAGAGAAAGGTATTCGGGTTATCGGGTACGGGTAGGATAATTTGGCAGGCAGCGCGCTCTGATTGGACACGAAAAAGTGGTGGGTGAGAGTCTGAGAGATGAAAAGCACCATCATTCTCAAACCAAGTAAATTAAGAGCCCTGTGCTTTTGTTGGGTCACCGCATTGTAGTCTAACTCACTGTCGTTTTTCTTGTTGTTGACCAAATTACCATCATCACTCATTTCTCTCTACTTCGTCAACTGTGGAACGTTTGTCTGATTTGTTTGATGGATGATGATGATGCAGATGAGTGCGTATGTTAGCAAACTATGCAGCAGTCCCTCTATTTTGCGCTGGATTTTGTAACTTTTATGCTTAAGTACTTTAATTTTGTGTATGCTATTTGAATTTTAAAAAATAATTTAATAAAATTTTAGTTTTAATTGTTAAAAAATTTAAATAATCAAATTATTTTTTATTTATTAGATATGTAAAAATTTATATTTTAGTTAAATAATAATCAGAACTTTATATTTATATAAATACTAATTAAAATACATCATGTGCCAATTACTCGAAAATTAAAAATTAAAATTTCAATTTCAAGGGTAGTATTAGAACTTGTATAATTCCAAATATATAAAAAAAAATAGCATACACAATGATAAAACCATACACAGAGTAGATGCATGAGGATAAAAAAAAAAAACTGAAGAAGCCAAGAAAAGTGATAAATGGTGATCCGCCCAATTATGACCAAAAGGATTCCCAACAATCAGGTTGTTTCTCATAAGAACAGTCATGCCATTCTGGTGTAGGAAAACCTTACAGTTCATAAGCTTAAAACAAACAGTTCAATGCACTGTGATTTTTCAATCAAAACCTAACTACTAGTTTCATGTCTCTACAACCCACAACAATTCAAGGGCAGGAAATTCCACACAAGTTGACTGCAAGCCTGTTACCAAGATCCTTCTGCACCCGCAGTTGGATTATGGAATGCCGAGTAGCCCCAGAAGTCTTCAATGAGTATGGCTGAGAAATTGTTGTGCCTTCTTCTGTGATCTTTGCTATCTGCAGAGTTTGGATATCAAACGTA